CCCCCCAAAATGGGGCCAGGGAAAATGGGCCACAAATACTTGTAGAAGCCAGTTCGTTAGATCGTGGGCCAAGCGACCATTTTGAGTAGGAAAAATGGGGGCTCCACCTCGAGCCATGGCCCCGTGGAAATACGCCAACACTCTTTTGTGTTCAAGAACCACATGAGCAGCACCTCCCAGTTCCTGTTGCACCCTCTCTCTACTCTTGAGGTCTGAAGGCTCCAGGATCTCGGCCACATCGCCGCATTCGTCCACGAGTAAAGGGTCTCTAGGAAGCTTCCCGAGTCTTTGCAACATGCGGTCGAATTCCTGTGCTGCAGAGCCGTGCTGGTTGCGTTTGTACACGTTTAATAGCACTTGCCAGATCTCGCCACGTAAAGGGTCGCATTGAGGCGGAAGACATGGGTACACGCTCGAGAGAACGCAGTTCTTGATCTCTTCCACGCCTGGACGACGTGTGATGGGTCTTTGCGCAATTTCAGCGGCGCTGGAAGCTGCAGAAGACGAGGATCCGCTCGAGAAGAGCTGCAGCAGACTCTCGGCGAGACTTCTCCGCTCCTGGGACGACTTGGAGGACCAGACTCGCATGGATCGACGACTCAAGATCTTGCCCAGGGCCTCCTGCTGCTGGTGGCGGAGATCCGAGACCGGGGACGACGCAGCGCGAGCGGATGGAGACGCCATGGGCGACAGAGAGTCTGACACTGGAAGACGTTACAGCGATAGTGAGGAGGGAGAGGAGAGGGGGCTTGTATTAAAGATGTGCGTTTGACTGCGAATTTGTAAGGCTCTTTACTAAAGTCAAGTAATTTATGGAAAAAAAGTCTGATTTCGGTGGATCGTTTCTGTCGGTATGGGACAATCTGTCAAGTGCACGATGTAGCCATGTCGGGGCGTTCAGGATGGCTACAGTTTCTGTTGATGTGACGCTAGAAGGTGGTGAGCTGCTGCAAAAGTATCGACAGGCTGTACCACGTCCATCCGTAGGTTGATAAACGTGGCTTCAGTAGAAGATCGATGCGAGATTGAGACGTGGAGAGGTTCACAGCGAGAAAGCACGAGTCGGAACGCGTTGCCAAGTACCCGTTCGAGAGTGTTGCGCTTCTCTGCTAGTGGCAGTTGAACGTAGACATCAGAAGGGAGACCCAGCAGACTCTCGACTGTGTCACCTTGACACAGAACCAGCAATGGAGCGCTCTGAGATCGTCCGTTCTCTACCGTCACCGCCAAGCTTTGAAACCTCTGCACCGTGTCTTCCAAGCCGAAGAAAACTTCTTGACAAAAGGAGCACTTCCACTTAGGCAGCCCCGACGCCGTTTGATCTCTGGGCATCATCTCCAATGGTCGAGAGCAAGATTTATGCGCAGAAGTGGTGGAGTGTCCCTTCTCACAAGTTGTGTCGATCATGTGTGACGATCCAGGAATCAGCCAGCCCACTGCTGTCACCGTCATTTCGACCATCGCGAGTGGGTGCTTTGCGACACTATGCAGCGTTGTCGACCGATCCAGTGCAGTGTTCATAAGACCAGACGTCGTATTCACCACTGTCAACTTGGAACTATTGCTGAATAGGGATTGCTTTCCGAAAATGCTTTCCCAATCCGAACACAGCACGACGACATTGGAAGTTGACGAAGAGCTGTACGCTGCTGTCGGAAAGGCAAACTCAGCCGAAGTCGCTGAGCTCGGTGGCATGAAGGCTCGTTCACGGAATCGCCTCACGGATTTGGACTGAAGATCCATCGCCACAAGTCCATCCAGGAAGACGCTCTGGCCAGGCAGAAGACGAAGTGCTGCCACTGCATTCGCACCTGTTACCTCGATCGTCAGTAGACTTTGAGAGGCCGCGATGTAGACTTGTAGCATCACGACCAGGTAGTACTTCGACACGATGGAGCGGTCCAATGGAGGAGGCTGCGCTGTCGTGTTCACGTCGCTTGGCTGGTTCGTCTTGGGGTCGTAGTACGCGTAAAAGAACGTCGCAAGTAACGGAATACCGTGTGAGACTTTGATGCTCCTCACATGAGCATACAGCGAGAAGTTGTTCCATCCTGGTTTGATCTCTTCCAATCGGGAGAATGGCCGCTCCATTTCGCAATAATTTGGGTCACGTGCTGGAGTAGTTGTCGTCGCTGTATCAACTCGACATGGCTTGCAGAATAACACGGTAGCACTGCCGTATTCAAAGAAATACAAAAGTCGCTGCTGAGATGAATACTCGTTCAGAATGTGCAGAATCTCCGTGTCGTGCTGGTCGCACACGTGCACAAACGGATGGAAAACTGCGAGCGTGTCGCCAACTCGGAACAAGCGACTGAGCGCCACTTGGTCGTCCCACAGAACCATCAAGTGCAAGCCTTGTGTCATTCTCTGCGTGTTGGGTGTCGCTCCAGGCGGGGGACGAGTAATGCTCTGATCAACTTCTCCCAGTAGAATCACTTGTCTGTGTACGTACAACGGCGTTTGACAAGGTCGAATGGCTCCAATATCAAGTACTTTGGCCTTCAAGAGCAGCTGCTGAACCGCTGTAGGGTCTTGAGCCCCACCGACCAACTGATCCACTTGACTCAAGCTAATTGACTCACTCAATAGCCTCCGATCCAGCGGTCTTGCTCCATCCAGTCGTGCAGTTAAGAAAGCGGTAGGCAAAAGTGTAAACTGGACTCGGTCACTTGCTGCTGCCATTGTCGTCCCCACTTGCTTCCTCTCCAGAAGTTTCGCATTGGTGAACGCAATTTCCCGTGCTGTCTGAAAAGGGAACATGGCTACACTGTATCAACAACAAGTAAGCATCGTCACTATTTAAAAACACACACACACACAATATCACCCACCTACTGGGTTCATACCTCAAAGTACTATGCAAAAAGTCCACACACGATCGGAATCTCTGGTGCAAATACCTGGCTCGCCACAATTAGACCCAGTACATAATCCTGAGTCAAATAATACAACCACTCACATGTGAGCCGTAACGTCCATTGCGTTCGCCATCTCAATCGTCAGGCGGTGGTTCCCGTATCCCGTGATTTTGGCCTGTAGAGCCTCCTGTTCCCCTTCCGCCAATAGATCGCCCATGTCCTCGTCGTCTCGAATCTTTCTCCTCTTGTTCGGAGCTCCCACCTTTTGCTCTGTGGTTCTTTTCTCCTTGTTTTTGAGTAATTTGGCCAAGTCAGTGACCACCACTGCCTCGGTGAGACCGTCTGGATACTCCTCAATGAGCCGCAAGAGTTTTGAGAAGACCCAGTAATAGGGGACACCGGGGGCCTCTGCATCGATACTGCGCTTTCGCTGCCATAACTCCCGTAGCTTCTGCTGCACGAACAGTATCTGTCGCTCTACGAAGTCGAAGTTCTGGTGGACAGCTGCGCTGTGTGTCTGAGGACCCGGCTGCTCGAGTTTCTCAATTGCATCAAACAACTCCATCGATCCCTTTAGTGAATTAGTGGTGTGGTGCACATAGGTATTGTGGAAAAACTTAACGAACCAGAACCACGGTTCTGACTAAGAATCAGGAACTGGGTTCTGAGAGTTTTTTTACTCATGCCTTTTCAGCTTTTTTTTTTTTTTACTGTAAGCCCAAGGGCTGGAGTTTCGCATTTTGGGCTCAGTAAGAACTGCAACAAAACACGTGAGCCTAATATTTTGGTAATACAGTACTAGTTCATACCGAAATCTGTCTGAAACCGAGAGCTAAAGTAAAGGCGGTAATTGGTTCCTAACCGGTAAGTTAATTCAATGCGTGAAAAAGTATAGATAAATTTTCTCTACACTTTAAACTGGTGGGTGTAAACCAGAGTGGAGTGAAGTAACTAACGTAACATTCAAATTTTGAAATTATTATTCAAGTGTAACGCTAACTGGTGGCTTCGGGCCGTCCTCTCTGTGACGGGGTCACACAGCACCTTGCACAGAGGAAGTGCCTAAGGGTATTAACTACCCGAGTGAACGTAAGTTCACGTGTTCCCGGCCTCAGTGGGAACGGTTTGCTACTTAGAGGAGTAGATTTAAGACTGATGTATTTATAAGTAAGATAAGCTTGGGTCACATACAAAACAGAGGTTACCTATAGTGGAGCTAAGTACATGTAGTCATGCACTGACTGGTTCCGAGAGCACCTGGTACCGTGTATCAGGTGTCCACAAGAGTGACGGGTCACTCTTTATGTAACATGGGGCACACTGGATTGTACCCCGTTACACTCTCTCTCCTTGGTCCATGTATCAGCGCCGGATCCCCTGGACCCGTGACGTACTCATTGTATTAATAGTGTGGGCGATCATGGATAAACCCACCCCTGACCACAAATTTATCTGGGTCATCGATACGCCTGGATCTTGATGAACTTCGCTGCTCCCAACACACGTGCACTCTTCCGCTTCATCTCGTCCGGTTTGGCGCTCGCCTTGCCTCCAAGGCATCAATCTTATTGGATATTTGAATCCCTATTTGCATACGCCGAGATTTGTCGAGTAGATTCTAGATCACACGCATCCTCGCCACCCGATACCCAGATCTCGGAGCTTACATTCGTCCACTTGGATTTGAGTCGGTACATGTATCTTCATTTACAGTCCAAATCGCTGTAGCGGCTGTTCCGATCCATCTCCCCGGGATTTAGATCGCTGTGTCTGGATCAACGGTGTCAACAATCATAGAGGAATACATTATAGCTACATGTAGCGTATGCTGGCTGATTACTTATCGAACAGTTTGTCGTATGTTTTAAAAGACGGAGCAGAATTAGTTGAACGTTTGCAAAAGGGCGCACCAGGCGCCCTTTGACATCTTGATCCGGTGCCTTCTTTTGCAAACCCACATTAAGGACGCACCAGGCGCCTTTGCCACGAACGGGTCAATAACCTCAGTTAGAATAAAAGTTTGGCTGTTTGAAAAAAAAATCTTGGAAGCTGGTTGAACTTAGCAAAAAACACGTTTTTGGTTTTTTATGAGCTAGAAACCAAGCAGAATTAAATAGATGTTTTCCGATCGCCCAATGCGCACTAGAACCACTGGAACAGAGTATCTAAAGTTTGCGTTTCACTACACTTTGAAGCTTGGTTCTCGGCTTCCAAGGTCAATTGTGACGCGCCTTGAATGCTTCTTTTTCGCAAATCTAGGTCAGGTTCATTCTGTCACCACTTCCTTACCGTTTCCCACCGGCACTACTGTGCTGTTGCTTCTTAAAAGGATTGTACAGCGTGATACCCGCGCGCTTAGCCGTTACTCGCCCTTCGTCGACAAGGTTTATGTTCTGGCAATTATCTCAGTTCCCGCTTAGATACGAAAAATAACAGATTTTCTTTCAAAGTCCCTAGCAAAAAAACATTTTAAAAGATTCTTGTTTCGAATGGGCCCTTTTGCCATTACAGACTCCGCCCAGAAACGGAGCTGCACGTACAACTCATCCCCTTGCAAACGCGGTCATACTTCTTTCAGCATTTTCAGTCTATTGGCTTGGGGTTTGTTGAGTAAGAGGTTAATACCGAAGTGAGTAAATTAGTGCTAACCAAAACTGCCCAACATGTCTCGCTAAACAATATCTCTCTGTTGTTCCTCATGTCGTCTTCTCGTAGGTGTGGTGTAATCACAAATGCCGTGTGTCTTCATCCAATCATAGCGCTCCAGCATGTGACTACCCAATGGCGTTCCAGAAGCAGTTCCAGTCAATAGTGGAACGGTTC